ACTGATTTGGAGTTTGAATGATTCAGAGTTCAGTCTCCTGAAACTAATTAAGTTCGAAGTACGAGGCACCACTGTAATGCAATAAAGAATAAAACCACCCAAAACGTTAGCTATAACTACTGGTAGCCAATTCCATAGTTTAACTATTAGCTTTTCTACATAAGACTATTAATCTGCTATATCGATTTCTCGGTTTTATTGCAGAATTGTGATCAGAGCACTACACAGGGAGTGTTTCCTTCCTTTCCTGCTTTTTCATTACATAGCCTCTAGACAGCATTGTGGTGGAGTGGAATGGCAGAAACACATGAGAAGAATTTGTTCTTTCTTTTGCTTCAACAAGTTAATGCTGCATTTCCCCTACTCTTAAGAAAGGGAGAAGAAGAAAATACCTCACCAGGTGTGAAACTGGAGTATCACACTGAGTAGAGAATGATGAGCAAAGACAATTATGCCTTGTGTAGAAAAGTCCTAAAGAAGGACTTTATCTATCTTTACCCAGATCACCCACCAATTCGCAACATGAGACAGCATGATTGGGGTCTAATCTGATGAAAGAGCGAGAAAAATGTTTATTAGTTCTCCATGCCATGCATAATGTTGTACACCTCTTTCATGTTCCCCTTTATATACCCCTTTTCTAAGCTAAGCAATCCTGTGTCATTAGGCATTCTTCTGTGGCATGGTCTTTAGCAAATGCCTCCAGTTTTCCAAATGAAAGTCAGTGAGGTGATCAAAGCTGGGTGGGAGGTGCGGGGGTTAAGCAAGTCCATACAGACTTTGTTCACCTTAATCACACTTTTCAAAATTGAATGAAAACGGGAGTGGTTATAAACTAGTTGTTTACTTATATGCTAGCTTGAGCTCTTTATCCTGAGACCAGGAAGTAAAATAAGATCTAGTACAATTGTTAACTTTAAACTGGTTATACAAATGCCAAAATAAAAGGAGCTCTCAAAAGCAGTGCAATAAATTTTCCAGGAACTGTCCACACCACAGTAGTTATAGCAAAGTTCTCAAAAGGTACCATACACACACTTTACAAACCAATTGTTTGACTCTCAAATGTGTTCTACCCCACAAAAATGTTCTATATTTAATGAGAATTAATGCAGGAAAAAATATTCATAAGAAGAGCCATGCTGTGTCTGATCATCCTGTCCAACAGTGTACAGAGCTGCCGATTCTTTCCAAAACAACCAAATGCTTTATTTAAAAACACGCCCCCCCGCCCGGAAAAAAAAGGAAAACCTTCATCATGAAAATGTAGGCCAGTTCTAGGACAACCAGCTTTTCAAAAGTAAAGTATGTACCACAAATAACTAAATTCACTCCCATCCCAAAGATCAGTTAATGACCCCATAGTCATACCTGCTCCCTAATAGGGAGACTGCTGTGTATCCTGGAACATGTTTGTTCTGTTACACTCCTTTGACAATAATCTCTATACTATGCAGTTTATCTTTTGGCAGAAGAGGAGCTGCTGTCCCGCATGATGAGCTTGTCATTTCCATATTTTTTCCCTTCAATTTATATCCTGCCTTTTTCCGACAAAGGGCTCAAGGCAGCTTACATCCTCCTCCTCCTCCATCTTATCCCCACAACAACAACCCTGTGAGGCAGGTTGGGCAGAGAGTCTGTGACTGGCCCAAAGTCACCCAGTTGGCTCCTTTTCCAAGCGGGGACTAGAACCCAGATCGCCTGAGTCGCAGTCCCATGCTCTCAACCACTACGCCACACTGGCTCTCTCCCTTCATGCATGGAGACCACCCATGTGAGTGATTTTTATCCCTCATCACCATTCTCTTTCTGGAAGTCGTGGGGCTGCTTCGGTGACAGATCGAAGTGTGGTTCCCAAAACAGCCCTTTGGATGGAGTTGGCCATGCCACAACTAATCATGTGGGTGCTTGGGGCCTTCAGATATTCTAATCTGATATTCAGATATTCTAATTTGCATATTCTAATTTAAAGTATAGGAGCTGCAAGACAGTAAAATTGTGTTTTTACTTCTACTTAAATGTGCCAAACCAGTAAATAAAGAGGTTTTGTGCCCCCTGGTGGAAAAGATGTGTTGAAAGGTAATGCTCCAGATTTCAGTGAAAGGTTTCACTGAGAACTATATTCCACACACCCTCCTCTAATCTAAAGTCTTGATTCAGAGCGGGATAGAAGTCCTGTGATCTCCACACCAATTAAAATGTCCTCGAGTTGGATCTAGTTTTAGATTAGATTCAGTGGGAGTAGTCCCACTGAAACAAATAGGGCTTGTCCTGACCAACTTGCCCCATTGATCAGTGGGTTTACTCAATATACGTACAAGCAAATCTAGATCCAGTCCCTGTTTCCTGCTTCCAAGTGAGTGGCTGGGGCAGGGACTGCAAAGTAGGGCAGGGCAAGAACTAATGTAAGTCTTGTTTTTCCATGACCAGTTGTTCTGTGTCACTAGTAAAAGTGCAATAAGCTTTTCATGGCACACATTTTAGTACAAACAAATGAAGAAGAAAAAAGAAACTAAAGATGTACTGATTCAAAAAAAAATAAAATAAAATGCAAAGTTCAGTTTGTTTCTGTCTACATTTATCTGTTGTAATTAGTTCGCTTTAGTGTGACTAAGGGCACACGGCAACATAAAAGGCTTCAGAGAAAAGCAAAAGCTTTTTTGGCAGCCCTTTATCTGCATCTTTCCCCAGCTGTCATTACAAAGTAATGAAATTAAAATTAACAGAAGCATTTCTAATGATATTATAGGCTTTTTCTTCCTTCCAAAGATTCCTGCTTTGCAAAGACACCCTTAGCTCTTCATGAAGGTTTGCTTCTGCATGGGGTTGTTGTGAGAATAAAATGGAGACTAGAAACCTTGTAAGCTGCCTTGTGTTCCTTGCAAGAGGAAGAGAGGTGGGCTAAAAATTCAGTATCATCATTATCTGATGATAATGATATCATCTGTAAAGCCCAATCTTAGATTGTTTATGCAAGAGAGGAGGCTGGGAAGAGATGTGAGAAATCCATTGCCCAGTGTTTCCACAACCACTAACCATGCAGCAAGAGAAACCTTCTTAATTAGGGTTGAAGCACAGATGGTATTCTGTTAATCCTTTTTATGTAACTGTGTCCAAAAGGCCAGCCTTACCTCTAAGCAATGGATAACTTTTATTCTCCATTTATGGCAAATGCCAGCTGTTACACCCCTTTCTTCCCTTCATTGTTATAACTTCTTCCATTTCTGTACTCTACTGCCCAATGGCCAAAACTCTCTGGTGGTTCTCTCGACTCATCTCTTGGCTCTTCACATCATTCCAGAAGTGAACTACAGAGCATCATGGAGCAATCATATTTCCATAGGATGTAAAAAACTGTTAGACTGGGCTTCTCCAGTGAGTCTTGTCCAAAACACATCAGCCTTAGTTTAATCATTTTTGCTTCCAGGAACTGCAGCACACAGCATAAGATCCAAGATAAGCATGACTGCAATCTGATGCTTTGTTCCTAGGAATCAGCTCCTTTGAACTTAACAGTGTCACTTCTGTCAAGAAAGGCCCAGCCTATAGGACCCATTGAGCTTTAAGAAAAAGTCAGCTGACCTTTTTATTAAACTAGAGCTTTTTTTTTAGAAAACCAACAAACTCTCCAAGAAACCCTTTCCATTTAAACCACTCATGTGAAGTAGGAACCCTGCCAAGGAAAAGGAAAGGAGGATTTAACTTCTGTTTGACTCTTTCCATCATTCTTCAATTCTGCCCCCATCTATATAATGCAAGGGTTGGCTGTAAACTGTCCCGAACTGGCTGTAAACCGTCCCGAGACGTCCAAGTATGGGACGGTATAGAAAAGTTTTAATTAATTGATTGATTGATTGATTAAAGGTAGGCATGCAGGCCTTTTTTTTCTTTACTCCCCAAGGTACGTAACCTTGAGCAGCAGAACAAAGTGCTGGAGACGCAGCTGAAGCTGCTGAAGGGCAAAGACCAGTACAAATCCAATGTGGGGCGCATCATGGCAGCTCACAGCCAGCCCCTGAAGCAGCAAATCGATGCCCTGACCCAGGATAAGCTGAAGCTGCAAAACGAGCTGCAGCAAACCCAGGCCCTTCTGGAGGAGCTGAAGAGCAGGTGAGCTTGGGATGAGCAGTGGGGGGGGCCCTCTATTGCTCTTT